TCACTAATTCTCTTACTGGACTAGTATAAGCAGCTTTTTACATAATGGTTTGTGTAATCAATTAGCAGAGTATTAGCTATAATAGATAACATTCTTACTAAGAACAGATTAATTAGAGCTTAAACACAGCTAATCTGAAACCTATACTGAATTTATATTATTATGTAAGCATAGTACTTCTGTAGGCAAGTGATTTCCTTCATGGCATTTTTAAGGGAAGGAAACCTTAGCATCTGAGAAACAAATATGAAAATTGTAACAGATATTTGGAAACCCCATAATGTTTCATAAAACTTGAATGTGCCAGGCCACATTAAAAATAACAGTAAGATTAAGAGCAACAAAGGACACAGGAGATTGAATATCTTTAAAATTTATTGGAAGAGAAGGAGTAGGATTGCAAGGTAAGAAAATCTCTGCAAGAATTTAATCGATTTATGTCACTGCTGCTCATTTTGCCTTGAGTTAGACCCAGTTCTGGTGTTCTTCATTGTAACTTCTCCTCGGCAAAAATAAAGACTGGTATGTCTCTTGGTCCACATGATTACACTAGCTCTGAGAAAAACATTCTCTGAAATTAATAAGGAATCTTGTGTAAATACAGATTTAAACTTATTTTTAGTTTGTGGCCTCTTTATCCTTTGTTCAGCAGTTCTGCAGTATAACCCAAGTGTAATATGTCTCTGGTACATCAGCTGCCTGAAAAAAAACCCTTAGGCAAAAACATACTAAATTTTTACATCACAGATAACCATGAAACCAAACAATTTCAAATTTACAAGCCTAGCAAATTTCAGTACAATATCAGAAAAAAAATGTGCATTTCAGTGAAATTAAATGTGATTTTAAAATCTTGGCTTCTGCTACCAACAGTAGCATCACTGCTGCTAGAATATATATAAAAAAACAAAACAAAACAAAACAAAACACTAATAATAAGCTGTTGGTAGAAAAAACCATTCCAGTAACAATAATCTGATAGGGCCACAATGGTCTGTTATCTAGTTACAGTTCTGAGAACTGTTGCACATCTGTATATCAGAAGACAAGTGCTTCTTATCATGACTGAAATGAAGTGGAATAATAAGGGATAATATGCTCATAAATGCTCATGGCAAGAATCATGTAAGTGACTGGGGGCTCACTTCACAGGTTACCTCTGTAACTTCAGATACAGAGCTGACAATCTTTTGAATTCATACTCCCCTCTCCCATTTTTTATTGAAAACCTATTTTCATATGTAGTATCTTAATTCTTTGTCTTTTTTTTTTTTTCTTTTGTAACAGTAGCCTTTCAAACATTGTGGGATACTTAACTATTAGCCATACTCTTCTGTATCTAAAAATATCAGTCAGCAGCATTTTAAAATTTCTCTTCTCAAGTTATGCATCATTATTTTTGGAACATATACTTTAATTTCACCAACAGAGGTCAGTAAACCACTGAAAGAGAACCAGAAGAGTTTGTCAAGAACACACCCTTGTCAATATTTCTAACATCCTTCTGAATAGTTTTGTTCAAAGGGTTTTTGTTTGGCTGTGTTAATATATATAAGATTAGTTAACTAACAGAAAAGGAGTGTATGCTTATGCATGCAGGAGAATGAGTTTTATTAAGGATATGAATTGTACAAAATACTACACTGGTAAAGATCTTTCAGCATTACAGTAGACTTGAGAAAGCTGTTATGAAGGCAGTAGCACACATACGTGCATAGTTATGATCATTGCTAAATCAATTTGTCAAGGTCAAAACGAGCTGTGATTTAAATGGTGTTGTTCTGAATGACCTGATGATTTCTACTTTTCAGGCTTTGTGCTGTTGAAAGCCAGCCTAGTGTGGAGAGTATGGAGAGGAGGATCCCAGAGAAGTAACATTTAATAATATTAAAATACCAGATAGAAGCACAGGAGAACTCAAGAGCTGTCACCAACTTGCTCATTTTGGCAGTAACACTCAGCTAATGGAACTATATTAACACATCATTTTCCAACTTTCAACTGTAATGAAAAGCTATTTTTACAAACCATTACTTTCAGTATATGGTGTTTCAGCCACGTGGCTTCTATTAGTGTACAGGGGAGTTTCACAACTAAAGCTGCCTGTGCAGTACTGAAAGTGCACCTTTTATGTTGAGCTAATCCCAGAGGGGAGTCAGCACTCGGGCCCGTGTCCTTTTGACCTTTATCCTTTTAATGCATTTTGCCTCAGTAGCAAAAGGTGAAAACCTAGTTTTTGGGTTTCAAAACAGACCGCTTCAACAGCAGTTCTCTGTGAAGCTAAGGCAAGTAACACACGCTCCTGTGGAAACGCTGAAAGTCCCTAGTTCAGCAATCCACAGCAGCTTTACAAATGTATTTTTAGAATTGCTTTTCTGGTAGCCCTTTGAAGCTCACCCATACGGCCTCCCTACCACCCCTCTCAACAGCTGCGAGCATGCGAAGCCACTGGAGTGGAAGATGTTAATTATCATCAGCTACTGGAATTTCTCCAGGGAACACTTGTGGTTAGAAACACGCTTCCCTAAGGAACTGCACTAGGCGCTGGGATTATCTCTCACAGCATATCCCAGTCTTGCCTCTTAAGGAGAGCAGATAATCAATTAGAATTCAAAATACTCAGTTTTAAGCATTCTTCTCTTAGGACACATTTGCATGATTTTCCTAAGCAATCTTGACTGTATAATATTTTTATTTCTGCAAAAAGAATTACAACAATAGGTATTTTGATGTATATGTGAGCTTCCCAGGGACTGGGTTTAGCATACATCCAGATTTTGATCAGAAACTGAAGAAAAGTCTAAAATGTAAAGGGCACAAAACCAGAACACAGGCAAACTGATGGACAGAAATGTGGGTTGCTTGAGTTTGTTTTGTTTGTTTTTTTTTTCCCCCCTGACAAGTCATTTGAACTTCCTTTCTGTGGCCAAGAAAAAGCAACGCACCTTCCCCCCCTTGTTATCAGAAAATTGCACACACAAAAATGGTCTTTCCTTTTCTGCTTTACCTCCTGCTATTCAGTGGCATTTTGAGTCTAAACTAGTTAGCGTCAGGAGCTTGATGTGATGTCAGCAAGCGAGATATTCCCCACAGGGAACCAAAATAATAGTAGATGAGCTGGCAGAAAGATCCCCAGAAAGGAAAATAACAAACCAAACAGATTCTAAGCCTAGCCCTTTATCGGGACTATTACAAAGCACCCTTAATGACTGAACACATCCTTAAATACACCTCGTAGATCCCTCTGTGGCAGTTAAACCTGGTAATCGCTACCACCCCCGCGAAAAGACCAAGTCAGGTCAGTCTCTAGCTGCAAAGAAACTTGGATGAACTCAGTAATCTGCAGGACTTGACTCCTGGTGTGCCAAGATGAACACGGAGGACATTTTTCCTGCCCTTTGCTCTGGATGAGAAGGGCACACGTGCCCCGGTACTTTAGGAAGTGACACACTGGCCTTTTTGATAATCTAAGTGAGCTGAAGGAAAACAGTCACCCCACTCTCCAAGAATGCTGTCCCTTTCCTGTAAGGGCTCAGGAAATCCCCATCCACCCCCAGGAGGAAGGTGTAAGCAGGAGGAAGGAAGCTGAATGTAATGGAAAGTAAACATGTCAACTGTGAAAGCAGCAACCACCAGTGACTCCAGGAACCCTTCCTCCTCATTCTTCAGGACAATGAGTACTGTGGTATCTCTGTTTTCCAGTGTTTACAGCATGAAAACCTCCACAATTACTGACCTGTTCCCTTCTATGTAGGCCATTAGTGCTGTTCTATTGTACATTTTCTCCAGTTCAACATCAAACACAGTGATCAAGAAGTAGATACAGTCAAGATTGCTTAATTCTTCCAAAATGGTCACTGCTCAGTGTCATAGACCTATTAACTGTGGGTTAGCTGTGAAGGCCTTTACCTTCTCCAGCTTGTAACAAAACACATGTTCCCCAGCTGGCATCAAGAGCAATGGTGAAGATAAAAGTGAGCAGACAAACACAGAACTGTTATATACAAAAAAAGTTTAATTGAAATACCTGTATAAAAAATATGATCTCCATACATTTCACACTGTTAAACAGAAGAAAAAAAAAAAAATCCAAATCCAAGCTGCATAAATGCAACCAGATCACAGAAACACAGCTATTAAAATAAATTAAGGTTTATGACTCTGCCACTCTACCTTCCAGAGCCAATGCACGGAGACTGTACAATGTCAATAATTTAAAACCCTTCCAAACAGCATTACTTTACATTTCTGGTACAATAATACCAGACAAAAGGCATACTGACTAACTTTAAAAAGTCATTCTATTTCCCTTAAATTAGACTTTGTACAACAATTTTCCATCTTCCAACAAAAATTGATAAAGTCAGAATTTTTTTTTGTTTGTTTTTGTTTGCTTTTTTTTTTTTTAAACAAAAGTTGACAGGAATGCAGAAAAAAAAGTGCCATGGGCAAACCACTAGAATTCCCATGGGAAGGAGGAGGGGAAAGCACAGTGTTGAATAACTCTAACCAAATAAATTAACCAAATAAATAGCCACAGCTGAAACCTGTGGGAGGTCTTCTAAACTCCAAACAATAAATAACTGTATAGTACATGGGAAAAAACAAGTTTACATGAACATATTATACAGGTATGGAAAAAAAAAAAAGTAAAAGTCCTTGAATATTGCATTGATTGTGCATTCAACATGCCCATACATACTTTAAGACTCGCAGGGTGACAAAAGGCTGGGGGGAGTTGAGAAAGGGGCTTCTCATGCCCAATGGTAGAGATGATAAAAGGAAACATGAGTAAGTGTTTCTGATAAAAAAAGCTGATATACCTGTTCATATTTCTGTGCAGGCTATAGGAAATATTTTGAGCAGCAGAGGTGGGTTGGATTTAGAAAGGGCCAAGGGGCAGGAGTGAAATGTCTGTGTTCAAGTATTCCATCACCAGTGGATGGGACTACTTCATTCAATCACCGAACATGTTCTCCAATGCATCATAGGAGCTGCTTCCTCCAGCACCGAGTCTAAAGGGAGCAAATTCCTATAATGAACTGGATCTTCTTTGGACATACACAGCTCAAAAAAGAAAGTCCCACTGAAGCAGCTTTCAAAAAGGCACTCAAAAGCAAATATAATCTAGTCCAGGCTCTATGAGAGCAAAAAAGTTTACCATGTATTCAAGAGGTCACTGCTTTCTTAATAAGGTCAGTCTTTACTAAGTACTGGCCTGCAACTCCCAAACATCAGCGTTTCCAAAGGAAATCTCTCATTCCAAAGCAGAAACCAGCAAAGGGGGAAAATAAAATCAAGTCCCTCAGACAAAGATTCAACTACAGAATAATGAATGCATTTTTTTCTAGCCCCTCCTACGTATTGGCAGCAGCACTGTGGTCTTTCTGCTTGTAGCTCCCCTCCCAGTGCGAGGTCCTTAGTAATTCACAGACTCTCATTACTTGAACTTGTGCTAGATACATCAGTATCAAGGGTCCGTAGCCTTATGTCACAGTCCTCAGACTTCACTACTTCAGATTTGTGCATCCATTGATGGTCAAAAATTTGCTCAAGTGTTGGTCTGTCTGAAGGCCTCAGTGAAAGGCACCATTTGATTAGCTGTTGACATTCTGTAACAAACAACAAAAGACAAAAAAATTTAGACTATGAAAGTAAAAAGCCAATCCTGAATAGAAAAAAAAAAAAAATCCACCCATACAAGCAGAAATATAAAGGAATATTATATTTTTTTTCCTTAAAAAAAAAAAAAGCCCCCACTTGACCCCTATAAAACTCACCAGGTGAAATTCTTCTCCTGAAGTATAACCGTCCCCTCAAGATTTCTTCATCTTGCTCAAAAGGGATGTCTCCACAAACCATATCATAGAGCAGAACACCCAGAGACCATACTGTTGCTGACCTCCCATGGTATCTGTGGTATCTGATCCACTCTGGAGGGCTGTATACTCTCGTTCCTAAATAAAAAAATTGAAGTAAAGGTTTAGAGTGCTTCCCTACTGTTCAGCTCCTTCTGGTAGGTCTAAATTAAATTCATAATCTTGTCACTTGGTAGTAAAAAAAAAAAGAAAAAAAAGCCCTTTAAATTTCTTATGGGCCAAAGCCATTAGTGGTGTAATTTCAGGTCATCTGCAGGGTTACACCATCAACAGACTTGGCCCATCCGGTTGTGCTATTTTGTTGCAAGGCATAACACAGCCCCATCAGCTGACTGTTTACTGAGGCAAGCTCCCTTTCACTGACCACGTGGCGTCTGCAGCATCACACCAAAAATAGACACAAAAGGACAAAGGGGGCTGTCGGGGAGGAGAAGAGAGGGCGGCAAGAAGGTGAAACTCAGGTCTACCCGTATTACACGGGGCTAATCTGCTTTATCCAATTCCACAAGGCAGTAAACAAAACAGGGCCGCTTACAGTTTCTATGTTTTTAAGGTCTCCCCTCCCCTCCCCCGGGCTTCTCTGCGGCAGCTCTTCCCAACCCGGCCCCCGGGTGCCCGCGGGCTCCTTGGATACCAAACAAAAACGGGAATTCGTGATGCTCAGGGTCACGTGTGGCGGGGCTTCGGGTTTCACAACAAACAGATGCGAGCGCAGCAGCTGGGGGGGGTGGGCGGAGGACGAGTCCCCCGTTACATCAGTCACCCCCAAAGGGCTGGGGGAAGCGCTCCCCTGCATCACACGCAGGCTTATTTTCTGCTTTCCCACCTCTAACGTGTGGAGCCTGGCCCCCGAGTCATTTCGAGGGAGGGTATTTATCCCATCGCTTTGAAATCTGCAATGCGGGATTTCCAGGGCACTGGTGGAAAGGGGGAGGGGGGGGGAGCTACTGCTTCAAGTTAAAAAAAGCACCGCATATAAAAAACTGCATATCCACACATGGAAACATCCGATACCGGTGAAGCCTCCATGTAAACAGATCGCCCTCTAGAAAAAAAAAGCAGCACGCTTTTTCCAAGCCAGGGAAACATAAACTGCTGCGTCACTGCCTGGAATCGCTTCTTTCCTACGCAACTGAACACCCCTAAGCTGCTTCGGGTCCAAAGGTTTCCATTACCCACAGACTTGACATGAACCCCGGTATCAGGGGCACCGCTCGCTGCTGCCAGGCACCAGAGACAGGTGAGGCGGTGG